GTAGTTAATTATATTCACTAATGTGTTAACCATTTTTATACCCTTGCTATTTGCTTTCATCCCACATCCTCCCTTTGGGATCATTTTTCTATTTGCATCATTCGCTATAGGTTAAAAAGTCTACAGGGAGGTAAGTCCCTATCTTTGAACACATATTTGTGGCTCTTTCATGTCACTCCAGACTGTAAGCTCACTAGAAACAGATTTATATACTAGCGGTTAACAGTGCTGTGAAGATATATTTCTTCTGGCATCTACTATTGCTAAAGAGAAGTCTGCTATTAATTCATAGGTAATATTTCCTTTCTTTCCCATAGCTTTTAAAATTCCCCCTTCTAGGTAGGTGCAGTAGTGCACATCTGTAATCCCAGAGGCTTGGAGGCTAAAGCAGGAGGATCCCTAGTTCAAAGCCAGCTTCATCAAAAGCAAGGCACTAAGCAACTCAGTGAGACCCTGTCTCTAAATAAAATACAAAATATGGCTGGGGATGTGGCTCAGTGGTCAAGTGTCCCTGAGTTCAATCCCTGGTACAAAGAAAAAAAAAATCCCCTTTTAATTAGATTACCCCTAAAGTTCTGCAGTTTCTCTATTTGTTATCTGCAGCCTCCTTCTGTAACAGAGAGAATTCTACCTCAGATTTCAGGGTTCTTTTCGCCCTGTGAAGCTCACCTTCCAGCCAACTCTGCCTACATCTTCATGCTTCTATTTCATTCTGTTTCAGAGATGGCTAGTATTTTGTTTTTAATTTATTTTATCAAGGTAAGTCTCTTTAAATTTCTCAGCTTTGATCAATTATTGCTTTTTTGTCTGATGCAGAAGAGGGTCTCAACGGACATATTTATGCAATGCCATCTTGACTGCAAACCCTGCCTGTGGCTTTCTTTTAAAAGAAAAAAAAAGTGCTTTTTTAAGGTTTATCTAATATGTCAAGTTGATAAAGGCACAAGATGGGCTGGACTTCTCAACTGGCTAACTGAAGAACCACAGAATAGAATACACCACATATTTAACAGAAATTTACTCACAGTATGGTCTTAAATGCCAACTCTGCTATTTAGTTGCTATAGAATCTTAGATTATAACTTCTCTGTATCAATTTTCCTTTCTATAAAAGTACAATTGTGAAGTTTAAATGAGGTAAAGATATACAAAGTGTTTAGAATAGTGTCTGGCACGCAAGCATTCACTAAATATTAGCTATTGTTATCACTGCTAGAGGGAAACATTTTACTCTGTATTCCCACATCTCCAGTCAGGAGAAAAACTGTCTACTCATGTCCTAAAGGAGGAGGTCATGAAAGGAACATTTCCAGTTCTCAGATGCCTTCACTTACTCCTTCCCAGGAATGGCAGATGATGTACCTGATTGTTTTGGAGATAAAACTGGACATGAATAGCTTAGTTCTTTCTAGATTCTCTCCAATCAAGAATAGACCATCTACAACACATTTACAAACTCTGATTTTGGCTTGGAAGATCAGATTTTTTGCTCCTGAAGGGGCAGTCTCATTTTCATTCATTTTGTTATTTGCAGAGAAAAAGATTCAGATCAAAAGTAAATATATAAAGCCCTTTCAGTTATAGTCAGCTCTTTTAGTCACAGAATTTAAGCCACATTTGCTTATCAGTTGTCAGTCATAAAGCAAATATTCTTATCTTCATTTATCTACCACGTAACTTATTTCTGAACTTGTTCCAAACTAAGAAGAAAGGAACACTAGTTATTGGCCTACCCCAAACCTCAAAGACTATAGTATGTAGCTACAGGGTTGTTGGGGAATTAAATACAATAACAGATGTAAAGTTCTTATCAGAGTAAGATGTTACCCCATTACTATTTGTCAGACTTGTGCTGGACTGTGAGTTGTTACTAGCTGCAGGATGAACTGAATGCCTGTCTCCCCGCAGTCAGGATAGCTAATCTTGGGCAAAGACACTACAAACGGCAGCAGTAGCAGTCTCACGATTCTGATTAAATCACATTTTTATTAAGCAAATGACATGTCCCAAGACATATAGAAATCTATCCTTAAGAAACTTATAACAGCTAAGCTATGGAACCAAATAGGTACCCTTCAACAGATAAATGGATAAAGAAAATGTGGTATGTATACACAACTGAATACTACTCAGCCATAAAGAAGCATAAAATTATGGCACTTGCCAGTAAATAGATGGAACTGGAGACTATCATGTTAGGTGAAATAAGCTAATCTCCCCAAAATTGAATGTTCTCTTTGATATGTGGATGCTGACTCACAACAGGGTGTGTGTGTGTGTGTGTGTGTGTGTGTGTGTGTGTGT